TAACATGCCCTAGAGTCCAGAATAAGTGATTGCCGGGACCTAATGGTAGGCACAGTTCAGGGCCAGGCCCTACCCTTGGAGACCCCTCCTCATTGCTCTCTGGGGAGCACTGGGTAAACTATAAGTAAAGGAAGTAGTGATGGGGACATGGCCTTAGCTGGGTGGTGCTGGGCCTCTTGGTTGCTCTGTTCCTATAAGTAGCAGACATGGGAGTTGACAGACTAAGTTAGAGGAGACTCATGTTCCCACTGCTCACCTGCTATGAAGTCGTGGACAAACTATAGGGTCTCTCTGAGCCCAGTAGCCTTAGGCCTGTGATGCCAAAATACTGGGGTAGAAGGCATGGGGGAGTTGACCAGTCCTCCGACCACCCGTAGCACGTGGACATCCAGAACTTCTCCTCAAGTTGGAGTGACGGGATGGCCTTCTGTGCCCTGGTACACAATTTCTTCCCTGAGGCCTTTGACTATGGGCAGCTCAGCCCGCAGAACCGGCGCCAAAACTTTGAGGTGGCCTTCTCATCCGCTGAGTAAGTGTGGGCCTCAGCCCTACTGGTGTTGGCTGGGCGTCTGGGGCTGAGCATCTAGGCCAGGCCTAGCTGCTCCGAGGCCCCCTAAAGCTGGCCAGCTGAACTGTCAGACAGTGGCTGAGACCCCCTTCCCCAGAAAGCCCCTGTCCTCCTCCATCCTGCCCACCCGATGCTGAGTGTGCCAGGTGCCCGCCGGAACGAAGGAGCCACAGGCCCGCCTACCAGTCCCTGCCAAGGCCCACCAGGTGGCCCTGTCCATATCCCCTCCATCCTCCCTCTGCCCCCTTCTCCCTCTCCTCTGTCCTGCTCTCCTCCCACTATCACCAGAGCTTCCTGCTCCCACGGGATCCCGGCTGGAGATTCCAAAAGGAGGCTCCTGGCCCGGGCACCGTGCCCGTCCAGCCTATATAGGTGTTGCCAGAGGCTTATATAGGACATCAGCAAGCCCTCCACTTTGGAATTGTTGCCCCGTCTGCTCACCTCACCCTCAGCACTCTCTTTCATCTGTCTTTCTTTTCTGCCTTTCTCTTTCTGGTTCCCCCCAGATATCTTCCTCTTCCTCCCTCCACCTCCTCTCACGCCTCCCTCACTCCCCTTCCCTGGGGCACAGCCCTCCTCTCCAACCTGGGTGCCAACGCCATTGCCCCCCACCCCGTGTTTCCGCTTGCCCCAATAGTTCTCTGCACCTGTGACTGGTCTGGCCCCCCACCCCTGTCTGCATCGCACACCATTAGTAACTGGTAGTGAGCGGCACGTCCACGATGGGGAGGGGGCATGCGGGGGGCTGGCAGACTGCAGCACTGAGAATGTAACTGAACTCATGTCTCTGTGTATGTGTGTGTCTCTCTGTTCTATTCCCCTCTCTCTTCTCTGCCTCTTCCCCCTCTTCCCCACCTGGGCCCCGCTTCCCTGCCCCTTCCCGGCCCCCTCCCCTCCCCAGGACCCATGCGGACTGCCCGCAGCTCCTGGACACAGAGGACATGGTGCGGCTTCGAGAGCCTGACTGGAAGTGCGTGTACACGTACATCCAGGAGTTCTACCGCTGTCTGGTTCAGAAGGGGCTGGTAAAAACCAAAAAGTCCTAACCTCTGCTCGGGGCCCCACGGTGAGAAACACCTCTTCGCCCGCCTGCTCCATATGCTGGAATCTGCTCACTGGGACAGAGAAAGGTCTGGGAGGTGGGTGGTGAAAGCAGGGGGACCCAGAGAAGAGCCAGAAGGAGCCAAACATGGCCTTGCCTGTATTCTGGCAAGGCCATTCCCCTAAATGGGCAGTGATGACCCAGGTGAGCAGGACTGAGATGGAGGAAGCACTGGAGTGACCCTGGGGGAGGGACCTGACCCAGCCTGCAGGTCCAGGACAGCTATCTGAAAAAAGTGCAAACTAAGCTGAGATATGAAGGACAAAGTTCCAGCTAAAGGAGGGAAAGGAGTCCCAAACAAAAGGATGAGCCTATGCCCAGGGCTGGGCACTAGAGGTGGAGAGCATGGTATCCCCAAGGGAAGGAAGTTTAATCTGGGTGTGAGGGGGAGGTGGGAGCCATAGTCAGGAGTTTGAACTTCCTCCTCAGGACAGTAAGAGTCATAAAGGTTTCCAAACAGAGGAGGGATGTACATGATCTGGTTAGCATTCTAGAACAATCCTTGGATGAGGGATGGGGAACAAGGGAGTGGACTAGATAGCAGGAGAAGCTTAATAAGAAGCAGGACAGGCTTCCTGATGGATCCAGTTGGAGAGGCAGAAAGAGGGTCAAGGAAGTCTCCCAGGCCTCCAGTTTGGGCACTGAGAAGTCAGTAGTGTCATGCTCCATGCTGGGGAGCTCAGGATCATGGTCAGTTTCATAGGAAGATGTTCCTGGTTCGAGTCCTGGACCCCCAAGCCAACTTTGGCATTTCCTCTCTAGTCACCTCACCTCAGGGAATACAGATCCTGACCTAACTGCCCATTCCAGAAAGCTCAGAGGAGGGGAGGTCTGGGCTCAGAGAGTCCCAGGAGGATTAGGTCAGAGCTGGGCCAGAAACTGGAACTTCTGACCCCTCACCTAGTGGCTCTTTTCCTTGCCCCATCACTTTTTGTACCCATTTTGTAGAGAGATGACAGAGACCCACAGGGAGCAAGGGGATTGACTGAAGTAATGTGAATCAGGGACAGAGCTAGAGGTGCACTCGGATGCCCCTCAGAGCCTGCAGCCACTGTTGGGGGTAAGAGAGCAGCCCATGTGCACACATATACTCAGAGAAGTTGTGCAGGTGAGGAGAAGATGGGCTTGGTGCTGTGCCCAGGTCTTATATGGATTTAGGAGCTGTTGCCCAGCAGGCTGGCCTGGAGGGAGAGAGGCCAAACCCAGCACTGATCCAGTTGGAAAGTGTGACTCAGCTATGTTGTTGCTCGAATTGCCTGGTGTTTGGCCTGTCACCGGGGCAGCTGGAACCCTGAGCTGTGAGCCCCAGTGTAAACAATGGCTTTATAAGGTCTCCAGGGAAGACACCAGGGGTGGGAGGGAGTCTCACATTGGGGGAGGGAGGGTTGGATCCCTGGAGAGATAGCCACAGCTGGAAGAAGATGCAGAAAGAGGCTGTCTCTCTCTGCACCATAGTTCAGCTGGGAAAACAAGCCCACTCTGGGACAGGGCTAACCCCAAAGGCACATAGTAGTACATCAACAACAGGATCAGGAACTTCTCCTTATCCCAAGTGCTTCCAAGGTCTCAAATGAGGTAGAAAATGACTATACTGTTGCTATAAAGATGGGGAAATCAAATCACAGAACAGGGCAGGGCTTTATCTAGCATCCACAGCTGGTCAGGGATAGAGCCTGGACTGAAACAAAGGTCTCCTTCCCCTTCTTGAGCTAGGAGTAGGCCTCAGCCCTACTATGGTCCCAGGTTCGACCTTGAAGACACAAGATGGGAGGTAGTCCTGGGTTCTTTGGTGTCTTGGGAACAGGAACAATTCCTGCCTTTATGCCTTCCCTGCCAAAGGAAACTCACTTAACAACATTGACTGAGTGCATACTATATGCCAGGCAGGGTAGATGAGACGGGGAAAGGCAGAGGAGGTCTTGCCCTGGAAGAGGATGGAAGATGGAACAAGGGAGCAAACTCTAGCCTTAGAGGTTTGAGGCTGTCAGTTGCTTAGTAGCTGTAGCCCACTCACTCCAGAGTGGGGAGAGGACTCCTGCAGTAGGGAAGAGGGGGCTCCAGGCAGGTGCCAATACCCGGGGCTGGGAGCTGGGCCTGGGCCTAGCCCTGCACATAATGGGGCTTGAAACAAATGATTCCTGTGCTCTGATTCAGTTTCCCTATCAGTAAAATGATCTAGCACTCTGGAAGAAGGATGGTGGTCCCGCCCCTGAGTATGATGTAGATGGTCCTGTCTGTATTGATTGGGACTCTCATCTGCCTCTCCTTCTCTACCAAAAGAGGATAATAAGGGTTAAAGAACTGCCCCCCCACACACATACCTGCACCCACATATCTCCCTGGCCATCTCACACAACAGGGTTGTCTGCAGGAGGTACCAAGCCAGAGAACAGGCAGATAATCAGGCTCGGAGTGTCACTGGGGCAGGCCTGGCTGGAGGGAAAAGTTTGCCAGGGTTAAGGCCCCTCCTGTGCAATGGCCCAACTGAGAGGCTTGTGCCAGCTGGAGTGTACCACTGAGGGTGAGCAGATGGTGGCCCTCCAGAGAGAAGTGGGAGGGGTCTATAGTCAGGACCGCCACAGGGGTAGGGGTAGAGACTAGTCCAGTACCCTGCCCTGACTGAGATGAGGTGCAGCTCTCCTCTTTCTGCATCTCCACTTGCCTGGCCTTGCTTCCCACAAAAGTGCCTCCAGGCTTGGATGGGTGGAGCTTGGGGCTTCCTGCCTTCCTGGAAGGCTCCCCCACCACCACCACCACCACCACCACCATCACCACCACCACCTTCCTTCGGTCCACTACGGAGAGTATGGAACTTACAGAAGACCAGCAGGCTTTGGCAGTAAAAAAGACATCCGGGTAAAGGCTTCACTGCAAGAGCCGGGGCAGCGCTGACAACCACCCCTGTGCCCCCTCCCGCAGGATGCTGGTGGACTGCGTGCCCCTGGTGGAGGTGGAGGACATGATGATCATGGGCAAGAAGCCCGACCCCAAGTGTGTCTTCACCTATGTTCAGTCGCTCTACAACCACCTGCGGCGCCACGAGTTGCGTCTGCGTGGCAAGAATGTCTAGCCTCCCGCCCCGCACGGCCTGCCCGCGGCAAGCTGCCCCCACCATCCACCACCATCCAGGCACCCTCCCCTCTCTGTGCGCCTGCCACCTGCCCACTGCTGCCCTGTCTGTCGCGACACCCTCCCTCACATACACAAGCAGCATTTTGATAAATTATTGGTTTTCAAGGACACTGACTTGTCTCTGCCTCTCTTTGTGGGGCTGAATGGAGGGCAGCTCAGCAAGGTATGCCGGGGTGCCCCCTCTGGTAACTAGGCAGGTAAGGGTTCAGTGGTATTTGGGGAGGGGGGACACCTATTCCCCATCCCACCCCCTGCAGCAAAGAAGGAGTCCAGTCTCTTTTAAGACGTAAGAGGTTTTAGTGGAGCTAAAGGGGGATTAGCAGGAAGGAATAAGAGGGAATTGAAAAGAACCCCCAACTACATCCCTGCCGGCCCTGGGTCTGGGCTTCGGCCCTCAGCGAGGGAGATGCTCCCGGGACACTGAGCGCTTCATTCTGTCCCCAGGGCTCAGGCAGGGGGGTGCATCACTCTCTGACCTACAGGTCAGCGTGGTCAGGAGCGCTTTCGGCAGGCCTAGCAGGTGCCTTCAGGTACTCCGGAGGGACGGGTTCGTCTGGTGTAGCCTTGCGATAGAAGCCGAGCTCCTGCACCAGCGCGTTGATCTCCTCGCGGGTCATTTCACTGAGTGGGATTCGCTAAAGTGAAGGGACTGGGTCAGTGCACTGCCCTGATTTTCGCCCCACCTTCCCTGTCCACCTACCTCCCAAGTGCTCACCTCCAGCTCCTCATAGCGGTGGCCTAGCAGCACGAGCTCTGGGTCGGCTCCAGGGAGGTGTTTCATTACCAGGTTGTGGCTGGACAGTTAAGGTGGGTAGTAGTGGGCCAAAGCAGAGGCTCCTGCAGCCTTGCCAAAGTGAACAGCACAGCCTTGTTTGCCGAGGTAGGGCAGGTATCACCATTTACACAGAAGGAAATTAGGGTCCAAAGTAGTAAAGGGCCCTCTCTCCATCCCTGTGTCTGTGACAGTCTTCATTAGTCAATTTCATTTGCCTACCCAACTCGTTGACCACCTCAGAATTCTCTGCCACTACCAATCAATTCTACTTGTCAGATGAAAACCATTTATCATCCTGTCCGTGAAATTAAGTGGAAGGAGATTCTCCCAGATTCTGTCCCCATTCTCCCTCCCCCAGAACAGAAGAAGGATACTAGAATGGGATGTCCTGGGTGACAAAGGCCTTCACCTAGGGAGGAACCAGAGCATCAGACCCCAACCCACTCTAGGTACCAACTGGAAACTGAAGACCAGTGAAGTCACAAAGCAAGTCAGGTGCAAGTTCCTGACCCCAGCCCCGAGTTCCTCCCCAGCCCAATCATTGGGACCATATTGCCCATCCCTCAAGAGGCTCAGGGGAGACAGTTTCCTTCAAACTCACCTCCTTTAGTCGATTCAGCTGTCATCCCCCACAGGTCTGGAAGGGGACAAAATTAGATAGGTCAGGAGTTAACCTCACACCTGTCCTAACCATGACCTCAAAGCCATTTCACTGTTACCTCCCAGTTGGGTCAGGCTGTGGATTACCCCTAAAGCAACAGTTCCCAAGGTGTGGAGATGGAGGCCTCTTGTAAACAGAAGAGGGAACTCTGTATAGGTGGGGAAACTGAGGCCAAGGAATACCAAGGGAAAAGAAGACAAGTCCAGAGACCCTAAAGGCACTTATAGACCTTGGGACTCTTGTCTGCACATCCCGTTGACTGTTGAGTCACTCCCAGTGTCCAAGAGAAAGAAATGATCACCCTATTCCTCTCAGGCAGTAGAGACCTGGGCCTTATCTTTGGTCCCTAGAGCCTCAGGGTGGGGCAGACTAGAAGGAAACAACTCAGAAATGCCCTGGGCACCCCCATTAGAGACACCTGCCATCTGGTCTCTACCCCACCCCAAACAGAGCTGGCCCTCCCTGCCACCTGTGGCCTAGGCCAACAGACCATCTGGTTGCTTCTCTAGCAAGGGAGGATGGGAAGACCCCTCCTGCACTCCCTGGGGGGATAGGGGCACCTCCCAGCAGGATTCCAGACCCCAGGACCACCCATTCTAGTCTTCCTTCCTTCTCTAGCCCCTCATTTTGTCAGATAGCCAACTAAGGCCCAGAGAGGGGTTGTGATGCTCCAAGTCACACAGCAAGACAGGAACTCTGGTGGAGAATTTCCTCCTGGAGAAGTGTGGGGGTGGAGAGCTGTTGCAGAGTAAGTATTAGTAATGCAGTTCCTAGCCCCCTTCTCTGGCTCCTGCTTGGTGGGGGGAAGCACCCAGAAAGTCTTCCCTCTCCCGGGAAAAGAAAAAGAGACTATCAGGAACTAGGGTGGGGCAGGAATTCCAGGAAAAAGTGGAGCGATGGGGGAGAGGGGGTTTGGGCTCCAGAGGGCAGGTTTGGGAGAGTCATAGGCCAGGAGAAGAGGTAAGGGACAGGGTCAATGTGTCTGGGGGCCCGCTGTCTGATCAGATGGGGAGTTGGGGAGAAGCTCGGATTTCTAGGCCGCAAGATAGAATGTCTCAGGCTTCCATGGTGCGTGATAGGGAGTCCAGAGGCTGGGGTGTAGGAGGGATGGTCCCGAAGCCGATGGGGACTTGGGAGTCGGAAGGGTCCTGGGACCAGAGCGGACAGTGGTTCCCAGGCTAAGGGGCCGCAGGGCTCGGGAGCGGTGGCTCCCGGGCTGGGGGCCGACTCACTCACCTCTACCCGGGCTCGGGCCAGGCCGTGCAGACGGTTCCAGTCGGGCCGGAAGGTGGCGGCGGCCGCGAGTGCCGCGAGTAGCAGCAGCAGGGGCGGCGGAGGCAATAGGAGGCTCATCAGAACCAGTACGAAGAAAATCCGCAAACTAGAGGTGAAAACACCCGGCCGCCGCGCCACGTCTGGGCCTGCAGACTGGCTCCGCCCCCGCTCGAGGCCCCGCCCCACCTGGGGCCCACGCCCCCTGTTCCGGGTCTCCGCCCCAGGGCCCGCTTGGAGTCTTGCAGCTTGCTCCCGGCGGGGTTCTGGCTTCTCTCTGGCCCTCGGGCCTTTACTTTCCCAGTCCCGAGAGTGTCCACACTCCCTCTGCCGACCATGGACGCTCTGGCAGGATGCGGCCAGACAGCGCCTCCTCACACCTGCAGGGGGCGCTGGCGGGATGCAGACCTACAGGGGAGTTTCTGAAAGCTGCACAACTTCAAGATAGGGAAACCGGGGTCTGGGGAATCCTTGTTTACGTTTCTTATCTCTCTGGATGAAATTTCAATTAGGATTTCAGTTCCCTAAAGTACATGTTGTGGCGATAGCAACATTACGTACTCTATAGGAGCTTGGAGAATAAAAAGGTTAATACCCATAAAGCCTTTTAGAACAGTACCCAGCAGTGTTAATTTTCACTATTTCATTCCATACCTCATAAAAGCCCTATGAACTCCGTTTTGCAGGTTAGGAAACAGGCTCAGGAAGGTAAAAATGATTAAGTTTTGGATCTGGGATTTGCCTATGGGCTCATCTCACCAAACCTCCCCTTCAAGGCTAAGGCAAACACAGCAAATTGATCACATTCCTCTTTCTCACTGAATCTACACTGGGACTCAGAATGTTGCTCAACATCAAACCAAGGCTGCATTATGATTTTCATGTACCCTAGGCATTTTTTGCTTTCCTGGGCCCCTTTCTTCATTAAGAAAACATACTAAAAATTGGATTTTATAACTGCTTTGATAAAAAATAATATAATCCAGAATGGATTCATTATTATGTATATTTTTTATTCTCATTTTAAAAGAAATTAAAACTATAACATATTCGCCCTGTTTGGGTGGCTCAGTTAGTTGGGTGTCTTCTTATACACCAAAAGGTTGTGGGTTTGATTCCCCATCAGGGCACATGCCTCGGTTGCTGGTTTGATTTCCAGTTGGGGTGCATACAGAAGTAACCAACTGATATTTCTCTCTCTCTCTCACCTCCCCTTCCTCTCTCTCTAAAAAAAAATATTGTGGACCCCTAAAAGTATCACAGACCCTAGACACTGAACCTAATGGATGTCAGGTCTGCACTAAGGCCTTCGCTCATTCCCTGCTACCTCCCATTTACTGACTTCATTATAAAGGTATAATAATGATAGAGCTGTTATTTTATGTCCATTCTCTATAAATACATAAAGATACTGTAAATATAATTGGTTCTGTCCAGATTTTTGATATGATAGGCTAGGTCTAACACTCCTTTGACTGCTGTGGAAGTGTGAATTCATCCAAGCTTCTGAAGGGCAATTTGACTCAAAAAATCAAAACCCTAAAAACATTTCTTTGACTCAGTCATTTCTTCTCAGGATTTGGCCCAAAATAATCTTAAGAGAGAGGAGTAATGGTTAGATCAAGCTTGTTTATCAAAATACTATTTATCATCCTGGCCTGTGTGGATCAGTTGGTTGGGTGTTGTTCTGTGCAGGGAAAGGTTGCTGGTTTGATTCTGTGTCAGGGCATATGCCTGTGTGGGCTCGATCCCCAGTAGGAGGCGTGCAGGAGGCAGCCGTGGATGTTTCTATCACATCTGTGTTTCTCTCTCTTCCTTCCCTCTCTCTAAAAATCAATGAAAAAAATCTTTAAAAATTTTAAAAACGATAAATAGTGGTGAAAAACTGGAGATACAACCTAAGTATGTCACAGCAGGGAATGAATTAAATTAATGATGATACCTTTATAATGTAGAAAACCATGCAATTGTTTCAAATGATGTAGCATAGGGTTGAATGACATAAAGAATGTTCATTGTGCCTGGCACATGTGGCTCAGTGGATTGAGCACCGCCCATGGACTGATAGGTCCCAGTTCAATTCCCAGTCAGGGCACATGCCCGGGTTGTGGGCTCAGTCCCCAGTAGGGGACGTGCAGGAGGCAGATGATTGATGTTTCTCTCTCACATGGATGTTCCTATCTCCTTCTCCCTTCCTTTCTCTCTAAAAAACAAACAAACAAAAAAAAATCAATAAAAACATTTAAAAAATAGTTTATTCCCTTTTTAAAAAGAATGTTCATTGTTATGATATAAATTACAAAAAAAAATCATCACACTATGAAACAGCAGTATCAGTTGGAGTTATGATGCTCTGGGCTTCAAGTCACAGAAACCCCAACTGACTTAATAAAGGGCATGTGTTGGCTCAACTAACAAAAAAGTTGAATGGCATTCTGCTTTCCATAGTTTCAGCTGATCATTAGGCCAGCTACCTGCATGGTGTCAAGATGGCTGCCAGCACTAACCAGGACTGCAGACTTCTTTGTTCACATCTAATCGAGGGATAACTTTTTTTTTTTTTGTAATCTCCTCAGGAGAGTAAATAAGCTTTCTTTCCCAAAAGTCCCCAGCAAAAGCCTCCTTATATCTTACTAGTCCATTCATGATCCAGTCATGTGGCTGAAAAAATTGGAATTACTTGTTGGCTTAACCATTGAGACCCATTCCTGAGGCCTGTCAAGGATATGGGCTGCAATGAATGTTATGGCAACAACAGAGTAGACAACCAATTTTATGAAATATATATGTGTAAATATACAGGATGGGGCAAAATTAGGTTTACAGTTGTTCATATGGAAAATAATCCAATAATTAATAAATAATAATATAAGAATAAATTCCATTTTGCATATTCACAACTGTAAGCCTACTTTTGCCTCACCCTATATATGCCTAGACCAACAACCAAATCTAGAAGGAAACAACCCAAAAAGCCAAAATAATCATTTCTTGGTAGATGAAATTATAGGTGAATTTTTTTTCTCCTTTACACTTTTCCTGTATTTTCTATAATAGACATCTATTACCTACACACAAATAGTAAACTTTGTTTTAGAAACCAATGGGACATATGTCACAGGCTCCCTCTACCCCACCCCAAACTCCAGCAAGGGCTTCAGAGTGGCTAAAGCCAGAGGCCCCATGGAGCATGCGGTTTTTCTGCTGACAGAACCAAGCCTCAATGCCCTATGAGCCCATGTAGTTCACTGGATAGATGCCACCAAACCACTCTCATTACATTAACCTGGACTCTGTGGCCTGAAGGGGCCACAAGCTGGGCTGCTGAGGGTTGACTAGCCAGCCGATGGAACCAGTGATAGAGACACTGGCCACAATAATATCAGGAACATTCTGGCATTAGCAGCCATGGGAGGCCCAGGATCTCCCAGAACAATCTCTGCTTTTAATCCATTTGCTTATGTGGCAGTTTGTAATCTAGGCCAGTAGCTTTCCTCAGGTAGGGCTGGGTTTAGGGTTTAGTCTTGATGGGGTCAGGCTCAGACAGAATCAGGGTCAGCCCTTAGCATAGGGTCAGGGTTAGAACTGAGCCTGGGGCTGGAGTTTAGTGAATGATTAGGCTTGGGCCTCTGTGACCAGGATCAAGGCTCAGTCTGTGACTTCACTCAGGGCTCAGCCTTTGACTAGGTTCAGTGCACAGTCTGAGGTTAGGGGTCAGTGTGTGACCAGTCTTGTGTGACCCAGGGTCAGAGCTCAGTTTGAGGTCAGGATTCAGTCAATTGATTAGGCTCAGGGCTCAGTCTGTAAACAAGATCAAGACTCAGTCTTCCACCAGGTTCAGGGTTTAGTTAATGACTGGACTTGGAGCTCAGTCTAAACTTGGGGATAGGGCTCAGTCTAAAATCAAGAGTTGGTCTAGACTAGGTTTAGAGTTGACTCGGTCTTCAACTAGAATTAGGGCTCAATCTGGGTCCAGAATCAAGGTCTCAAGTTGGGATCAGACTTAGTGAGGTTTGGATCAGGCGCTGTACGTGACCAAAGTCAGGATCAGGCATGAGATCAGGGCTCAGTTAACACTAAGATCGGGGCTCAAGTTGGGTCTGGGATCAAGGTCAGGATTAAGTCTGGCTTTATGCTTTGTTCTGAGTGCTATTAAAAACGTTTCTGAAGACATGGGAGCCCAAGGCAGATTGGCCCGCAAGAAATAAGAGCCTCCAGGTAATCTATGTCCCTGCAATAAGCCTCTCCTTGCCTGCTAAAGCTGGGTGTCCTAGAGCCTTCTAACCTACATGGCTCTGCTGCCTGAGATCCCCTCGCACCAGAATAAAAATAGCCACTCACTTCAGAGCAGCTGACAGCGGGTGCCAGGCTGCCTAAAAGGAGAGGGAGTGGAGGAGGGGGAAGAGGGATGTGTGACCTTGGAAAAGTCATCCTCCTCCTTGAGCCCATTTCCTGATAGGCAAAATGGGAGGTAAAGATGACACCTACCCCAGAGGGTGAGAACAAAGGGACAATGACATAACATGTGGCACTTGGTATCAATAAGAAACCCTGAAGTCTTGGGAGGAATAATGCTCCTCCATGCCCTGTATACTTTCTCCTCTGGGAAGCTCTTCCTAAAGCTTACCTTTTGCAGCTTCCCCAATACATGTAGAACCCTCTACATCTCAAGCCATATCTCAGTGGCCACAGTGTGGCCTACCTCACAGTGGGCCTGGGTTAGGGTGACCAGGGAGTAAAAGGAAGGACAGACCCTTCTGTACCATTACCACTTACAGGAGCCCCTGGGAGGCGGAAAGAGGAAGAGGAGGAGGAAAGAGGAAGGTGTATACACCTGCTCATGGTATATTTACTCTGAGCCAAAGGGCCATGACGGCATATTTCCAAACTGTGCTTCCCTTCACAGACGGAACCTTCCATACTCCATACCTTTGCACCTGCGGCTCTCTCTGCTTCCCAGGGCATTTTTCCTCTTTTCAATTTAGCAACATGGACCCACGATCAAAGAAGGGGTTCAATGGTCACCTTTGTGAGGGAGGATTATCCACTATCTCCCTGGGAACCCCATGATCTGTCCCTTACTGGCTGTGTAATCCCTAGGCCTCAGTTTCTTCCTCTGTCAATTGGGGATCTTACTGCCAACCTTCCAGGGTTACTATGGAGAGTCACCAAGATAATCACCAACCACCAGCTCTGTCCTTTCATATTCCCAACCCAAACAGGCTGAAGGTTAGCACTAAAAATTTCCAGAAAGGGGCTGGACAAGCTGTACCCTGTGCCTCGGTACACACCCCACCCCCTGGAGTGAGGGAAGGGAGAGAGCCAGCTATCTGCAGCAAGGGGGCGGTTCTCCCTGGCAGCTGCCCCCAGCCTGCCGCCCTGAGCCCCAGAGCCTGTTATCAACCTCCTTAGTCATCACATCAGGAGCTCAAATATAGCTCTTACCCCGCTCCCTTCTCAGCTGAGGTCCACCCCCCACCTTCTTTCCCTGGTAAGGCCATGTCTGGGTCTCAGAGTCTCTTCCCCTCCCCTCCAGGGATACAACTACACTGGGCCTCGGTTTCAGCATCCACCAAATGGAAAGGTTGGAGATGAGAATGATGATATTATTGATGATGAGAACTCCAGAGCACCTACCCTTACTGAGAACTTACTTGTGTCAGATTCTGTGCTAAGCTCCATATGTACTATCTTGTTGAATTTTCACAGCAACCTTAAGAAGTATCAACTGTTCTTACCTCCCTTACACAAACTTTCCCAAGTAGGTCAGTAGCAAGGTCAGAAAGAAAGTTTCCTGCAGGGTCTGAGCTCAGGGAAGGGAAATCCTTGGCTGCCCAGCTGGGGCTCAGGAGTCCTCTGCACACTCATTTGCTTGGCTTCCAAAGGGTATTGATGCCCTTGTCCCAGCCCTCATGGATGAGCCCGAGGACTGGCCCCAGGGGATCTGGATTGTATTAGAAGCTGGTACTTTTGGGGGTCTCAATTTTATCATTCATTAAATAGGAGTCAGAGGGCTGCATAGAGGAAGTTCAATTTACCTTCCCTCTCTGGTGGCCTGCATACCACTACCATGTCTACTCTCACCTCCTTCCTCACCACCACCACCACCTTCACCTCCAACTCCACCATGACTTCTTCCATCAATATAGCATCCCACTGCCTCTTCTGCCCCATTTCTCCTCCACTTTTACTATCACCCTCATCACCATTACACCACCCCCTCATTCTACTTCCTCCACCACCAACATCTGTACCTGTGTTATCACCTCCTCTGCTGTCATCACCATGAACTCCACTACCTCCTCCATCACTGTCAGCCCTAAACTTCCATCATCATAGTTACATACATCATCATCTCCATCACTACAATCACCTACCCCATCATCACTATCATCACCTCCACCATTACTGTCTAAAAACTTTCTACCCCAGGGCCTTGATATGATCTTGATCTCCCCCTCTGCAAATTCCAGCCTCACAGAGTTGCTGGCCCAGAAACACAGACTAGACCCAGAGACAGTGAAGCAGATGTGAATAGCCTATCCAGGGACAGAAAGTCATTTGTCTACATGACTTTCATGTAGGGAACCACACAGGCCTATGAGAATGCAGAGGTGACTGTTGACTAACAGGGAGCTCTGAGCACAAAACTGAACATTTTCCTCCTAAATTTAGTAAGATCACTCTAAGCAATCCAGCAACTCTGGAGAAATTGAGATTTCAGGGACTGCTTAGCAGATAAGAATGAAAATGGAGGGGAGGAAGAAGCAGAGGACCCATAGACGTCCCTGAACCTTGTCACTTATTTACTCTTCTCGTTCATTCATTCAACAAACATTTCCCTAGTCCTGTTAGAGACCAAGTCTTGTGCTAGGTTCTGGCCAAAGAAGCTCCCAGGACCCTCCTGCCAGTCCATTCCCCCACTGCTGGCCCTTCTCCATCCCAGTCCCCTTCCTCCAGATACTCCAATTAGCTTGTACTGCTCTTGGGTCACTGAGGATGCTCCATTTCTTCACCGAAACTCAGGAGACCTCCCCAGCTTACTAGGTGACCTTGGACATGTCCCCCTCTCAAACCACACCCACTGAGTACAGGAGAAAGAGAAGCTGAGAGGAACCTGGCTGAGATGGACCTGGCTATGGAGATGTCCTAGGGTAGGCAGTAAAGTGTCTACAGAAGATGAGAGGCCAGTGCTGAAGCTGAGATGGGAAAGGACTCCAGTAACTGGAGCCTGAGTGTCTGGCTTTGGGATAAAAAGGATAGAGCCAGGCAGGGGGCGGGCACCAAGGCCTGAAAATGGGGCAAGGGTGGGGGCCAAGGCAAGTCCTGAGCTGGAAGGGCACCAGGAAGGTCACAGGATCAGGGTAGGGACTCAGGTGTCCCTGAGGCCCTTAAGGGGGTGCTGACCTCTGAGTTACTTATCTCTACCCTCAGGTGTGTCAATGCCCCTCCCTTGGGCAAGGGCCAACCAGACCTACTGGTGGTAGTGGGGCAGGTACAGACAGACTACTCCATGCTGCCAAGTGGGACCCAGATCAAGCTAATGGGCACACTTTCCCACACCCCCATGACTGTTCCAACTTCAGCAGTTAGCTTGAAGGGTTCCCAGTGGGTAGGACACCTTGCCCTGGCCACCACTAGGTTAGGAAGTGGGTGCCTGTGCCTTTAAATTCTCAGCAGGTTGAAACGGCTGATGACATCACTGGTTCCCGGGAGCGGAGGAGCTGGAGCTAGAGCCAGAGCCTGAGGGAGTCCTGGCTGCCAGGGGCTGCAGACATGGAGGACCACAGCAGCAGTGGCAGCGGGAGGCCAGGAACCCTGGCTGGCCTGGGGCCCCTGGCCATGCCCCACGGGGTTTTCCAAACTGGAGCACCCTCCAAGGTAAGACCCCTAAAGCCTAGCCTCCCCATTCCTTATCCTTGGTTCCACACCCCCACACACACTGCAGGCACCCTGGTGCCCCGGCTGAGATGCTGGCACTCTCCTCTGTCCACTGAGCAGGGATGGGTGAACAGGGCACCCTGCAGCTTGAGGGGACAGTGATGGAACACCCAGAGAGAAATGGAGTTAGCTATCTCCAGGAGCCTCCCAGGAGAACACTGTACTGGGTGTTAGGGGACCCAGCTGTGCTCCAGCTTTGCTGTGTGACCTTGGACAGGTTGCTTGTCCTCTCTGAGCCAATGCAAAATGAGGAGGCTGGTCCCTGAAGACTAAAACTGTGACATCTGGGATGTCTAAGTTGTTAGTGCTGGAGGCGGTGTGGTGGTTGTTGTTGTTGGAGGGGGGTGCATAGTGGGATACCTGGAGCCAAGGAGGATGTCCAAATGCAGTCTTAAAGAGCTGAGTTTGGGGAGGGAGGTGGAGGCAGAGTTTCAAGTTCTCTGAACCGAGAAGGGCACAGGATACAGACAGACTGCATCTCTGGAGGCAGGGATAGGGCCACCCTGGGGCAAATGCAAATATTCTGCCCTCCCTGGCAAAGGACATTATCCTGTTTACTGGAGACAGGGGCATCAGAAACAAGAGACAGATAGGGAAGGAAAAGGAGGTCCCTACAAGGGCTGGCTGACCCCCACTCCACCTGCTGGACTAAAGGAGGCTGCTTCCCTGTCCTCACAGGTTGTTTGAGAGAAAGTGAAAAGGGAAAGAGGGTATAACCTGGGCACAGAGTGGTGTGATGCCAGAATCCACCGAGTTTTGTACTTGCTCTGAATATTAGAATCACACTTGGTGAAGATGGACTATTCAACAAGGCTCAAATGGAATCCTAGCAAATGTTGGGCTCATAAATGCAGAAAATATGAGACTAAGTTTTCCCAGGAACCAGGTGTGGCCAGAGACCCTTCACCAGGTTCCTTTGTTTTACAGACAGGAAAACTGAGGCCCTGGGAAGACAGGTGCTTGCCTAAGATCACACAGAGCTGGGCTTGGAATAGATATGGCCATTCTCAGCCCCAGGCTCTTGCTACTGCAATGGAGCTCTGGGAATGGGTGAAGAGGACAGAGAGGGCTGTGGCCAAGGTTTGAAATGTTTGGTGGGGGAAACTTGAAGATTCCTGGGAACTGTGGAGGAAGGAAAGGGTATTGAGCAGACTGGACCTCACATGTCCAGAGCGAGCAGATCTGGGGTGTCAGGTCAATAACCCTTGGCCAGGGAAGCAGCACGGATTGCAGGGAGTTTGCCCAGAAAAACTGGCTCCAGCCATCCAACACTTCAGAGTGGCCAGGGAGTGGGTGCCAGTGGGGAATGTTCAAACTCACACTCTGCCTCATTTGAATTAGCGGTCTTAGTTTCCACATCCCTGAAAGAGGTGTCAGGCTTGAGGGAGGGGATAAGGTTCTGTGTCCTGTTTCCCCCGCAAAGAGGAGCTGATTTGCCACAGGATGGATTGAGGTAAGAAATTAGGAAGAACTTTCTTGGAAAGATGTACATTTCTTAGCTAGATGGAGTCTTCTGGGGTCTATATGGAAGTCGTGGCCCAAGCCACTGGTTAGGGTTACCCTGTGTCTTTAACTTGTCCTCTACAAGGTGGACTCAAGTTTTCAGCTCCCAGCCAAGGAGAATGCAGCCCCGGTACCCTTGGAACCAAGGCTGGCTCTGGCACCTACTGGGCCACATGCTGCTATGCTACCTTCCTCAGAGGGGCCAAGACAGGCTCTGGCATCTCCTCGACCCCTCCTGGCGTCACTGTCTACCCCTGGAGGGCAGAAAACAGCTCCTGCCTGTCACAGCCCCAGCCTGGCTCCAATGTCTATGGGCCAGTTGGTGATGTCTGCCTCTGCTGGGCCGAAGCCTCTTCCAGCAACATCAGGCTCAGCCCTGGCTCCAACATCCCTGGGGCAGCTGGTGATGTCTGCCTCAGCCATGCCGAGGCTGCCACCAGCCACCCTGGGGCCCAGGCTTGCTCCAATCACTAGGGACCAGAAGCAGGTATCACCTGCATTTGTGAAACCCAAGCCAGCACTGGCCACTTCAGGCCTGAGCCTGGCCCTGGCATCTGAGGAGCAGCACCCACAGCCCTCCTCCAACTCTTCTCCAATGCCCAGTCCAATTCTATCGCCCTCTCAGGAACAGACCCTGGCTCCAGCATCCATGACATCAGCCCCGGCCTCTGTGGGACGGACACCAGCTAAACAGAGGGATGCCCCAGCCCCTAGACCTCTCCCCCTTTCTGAAGGGCATCTCCAGCCTCCAGCTCAGGCTTCCAGTCCTGGGGAGATTGTATCTTTGATCCAATCTCCCCCAGACCCCTGGATCTCCCCCTCCTTTAGAGCCAGACCCGAGGCCCCCCACAGCAGCCCTGAGGATCCTGTCCTGCACCGGCCACCTCAGACACTTCCCCTGGATGTAGGCCAGGGCCCTCCGGAGCCTGGCACCCGCTCCCCAGGACTTCTGTCTCCCACCTTCCGACCAGGAAACCCCTCAACCCAGACTGTTCCCCCACCTCTGCCCAAGCCACCCCGATCTCCCAGCCGCTCCCCTAGCCGCTCTCCCAACCGCTCCCCCTGTGTCCCCCCAGCCCCTGAGATAGCCCTCTCCAGGTCTGGCACCCAGGGTGCAGGGCCTGGTGGGCATCTGAGCCCCAGCCTTCAGCCCCGAGAAATTTCAGCCCCAGTCACCACCTCCTCTTCTACATCCACCTCATCACCATCCTCCTCTTGGTCAGCTCAGCCTACCTGCAAGAGCGACCCTGGCTTCTGGTGAGGGGGCCCTCTCCCAGGAAAGATTGTGGGGGCTTGAGCTCTGAGATTAGCCATCTTTCTAGGGTGGTTTGCCCTAATCTACCCTAGTTTTCCTCCCTGAGGAGGGGTCCTTGGGGGTGCTGGGCCCACTCTGAGATCCTCAGAAGACAGCATCCCCTCCTAAAGGACTTGCCCACCCTTACCTCAATTGATCTCCCCTGGGGGAGTCTGGAAGGAGGGATACTGGGCCCACTGTGGGTCCTTCTGAGGGATTACACCCAAACCTACCTCAGTTTATTTCTCCAGAAAGAGAAAGAGCCCTGTGGGAGGGAGATTGAGGGTGAGAGAGTGGTGCCCAGAGTAACCCTTCTTATACTGGCACCCCCAGGATCACCGTGGTCACGTGGAATGTGGGCACTGCCATGCCCCCTGATGACGTCACATCCCTCCTTCACCTGGGCGGTGGCTGCGATGACAGTGACCAGACAGACATGATTGCCATAGGGTGAGGGGGCAGGGTGGCTGGACCCTCTCCCCAGCCTTTCATGCCTCCCAGACCCTTATTCATGGGAGGGGCTTCTAGGGTGTCCCTCAACCCAACGGCCACCTCACACCACACCCCAGGTTGCAGGAAGTGAACTCCATGATCAACAAGAGGCTCAAGGACGCGCTCTTCACAGATCAGTGGAGCGAGCTTTTCATGGAAGCACTCGCGCCTTTCAACTTCGTGCTGGTAACGGCTCCCTCACCCTCTGGATGGGCAGAGACCCCTGGATTCCTGTCTCTACATCTGCCTTGACTCACTGTGGGGTCCACTGTTGCCGGGTCTATGAAAAGGGAGGATGGAGGAGCAGACCGTAAGGACGGGAAAGGGCTGGGGGAAGCTGGGGTTGTGCCCTGTCCCTCAGTCAAGTCGCCCCCCCACTGCAGGTGAGTACTGTGCGGATGCAGGGCGTCATTCTGCTGCTGTTCGCCAAGTACTACCACCTGCCCTTCCTGAGGGACGTGCAGACGGATTGTACGCGCACTGGCCTGGGTGGCTATTGGGTGAGCGCGGGAGTGGCCGGGAGTGGACAGAGCCCTAGAGGGTTCGTGGGTTAGTCCCCAGGCCCGCTGCATGGGCAAAGTCTCCCCACACTCCACCCCTTACTCTAAGGCCCCCCTCTCCCCAAACCTGTCTACCTCCACACTCTATTTTCTAGACTCCGCCCCCTTTCTCTCTTTGCCCGGGGCTGGGAAAGGGGGTGTCCCAGAGCCCTGCCCCTTTTCCTAGTACCCACTCCTCTCCAAGCCTCCTCCACAGGGCTGGCTGTCCCCTTCCCTCTGTACGCCCAGCCCAGTGCCCCACCTCCTTGCCTGGACCCCGCCCATGACCCGCCCAATGTTGCCTCTCAAGGGCAACAAGGGTGGAGTGAGCGTGCGACTGGCCGCCTTCGGGCACATGCTCTGCTTCCTGAACTGCCACCTGCCAGCACACATGGACAAGGCAGAGCAGCGCAAAGACAACTTCCAGACCATCCTCAGCCTCCAGCAGTTCCAGGGGCCGGGGGCACAAGGCATCCTGGATCACGAGTACGGGCCAGGGCGGAGCCAAATGGAGCTTGGGCAGGGCTAGTGAAGGAGAGTGTCACTAACTTGCAAGAAAGAACTTGGTACTATCCTGGGTGGGCCTTGTGAGGAAAGGCGGGGCCTATGAAGGTGGGTCACCGCCCAAACTACATCTATAAACTTGAATGCTGGGTAAGTTTGATGGGGGCAAAGACTGCAGGGTGGAGCTTTGCCAAGGGGTTGAGCCATTCTGAGAGTCTGAACCTAACTTTCCTCTAGATCCACACCCCACTGCTATTCCTTGGTAGGCTGGAGGCTCTGTGGCCACCCAGCCACAGTGTTGTTGGGTTGGATGGGGGTGGAGAAGGATCTGGGTTAGGTTCTTCCACCCCATGGACCATGCTGACCTCCACCCCCGAACAGCCTCGTATTCTGGTTTGGGGACCTAAACTTCCGCATCGAGAGCTATGACCTGCACTTTGTCAAGTTTGCCATTGACAACAACCAGCTCCACCAGCTCTGGGAGAAGGACCAGGTGTGGAATCCCAGCCTACACCCCAAATTCCCTAGCACACAGAACATGCTTCAGGATACACCTGTACCCTAGGTTATGGTCTTTGCCCGCACCTGCCCTGCCCAAGCTGTTGTCCAATTCTTTCTTTCTGGACCCTCACAGCTCAACATGGCCAAGAACACCTGGCCCATCCTCAAGGGCTTCCAGGAGGGGCCCCTCAAATTTGCACCCACCTTCAAGTTTGATGTGGGTACTAACAAATATGATACCAGGTGAGCTCAGCACTGGATGAGGTGGGGATGTGGGCTTAGGTCTTCTAGATAAGGGAGACAGGGAAGAGGGACAGGAGGCAAGGCTAGGGGCTATACTTTGACCCACTGCCTCTGAAACTCGGGCCTGCCCACTGCAGTGCCAAGAAGCGGAAGCCAGCCTGGACAGACCGTATCCTGTGGAAGGTCAAGGCTCCAGGTGGAGGTTGCAGCCCCTCAGGACAGCAGAGCCACCGGCTCCAGGTGACCCAGCACAGCTACCGAAGCCACATGGAATACACAGTCAGTGACCACAAGCCTGTGGCTGCCCAGTTCGTCCTGCATGTGAGTCTTGGCCTCACCCTCTTCTCATGACATCCCCAAGCTCAGCTCAGCATTCTACAGCCCACCCCTTGCATCTGCCCTTAGCAGTATCCATTTGTTGTAGCAGATATGATCTCCATTTTCAAATGAAGAAACTGAGGCTCAGAGACACAACATTACTTGCCCAGGATCACATAGCTGGTAAAGGGAAAAGTTAGGAATTGAACCCAGGCTAGTCTGGCTTCAGAGTCCATGCCTTTTCCACTAATCACTAATTCCCTTCTTCCGAGAAAGTTTTAGGACAACTTATGTTAAAATTCACATATATAAGACCAGCAAACTCAAAATGTTTACTTTAATCCTATGCAGCTTTCATTCATATTAATTTATTATTTATTAACTGTCATATTATATGCCAGGCATTCTAAGAGTACGGTAGTGAGGGGGAAAGGGAGTAGAGATATAAAATATACAAAGCGAACCTCTAGTTACTATAGTTTAGCATTTTGTTTAGGATTGAGGTCCCTAGTTGCCAAAATAAAGAAAGGGAAATGCAAGAATGTCAGAACTGGACCTGAGAGACTATGTAGTCCAACTTTCTGTTTTCCTATGGGGAAACTGAGGCCCCTAGTGGGGTAGGCATGTGCCCCAAGTTGCACACAGGCTCAATGGCTGAGCGGGGTAGATTCCATCTTTCCAGCCCTGAAACCCAACACTAGGCTCTCTGATTCTCTTGATCTGATAAGAGGGAGCATAGAAGGCCAGAGAATGTTTTCCTTGGTAGCTTTGTCACATGGTCAGTCAGTGGGATATTGGCCAATATTCTCAGCTGGGAAAGAAAATCTGCCTATGTCTGGCCTCCTGTGACCTTTGGTAAAAGGATTGGGTGTGAGGTTTAACCCTCACCTTGAGAACCACTCCTTTTGGACGCCCTTCCCTGACCCTCCCTCCTCATCCAGGACTCTGTCCCTTCTAAAATATTACTTATTGAACACCTACTACCTGCCAGGCCCTGTGTGGGGCACTTTACATACGTCATCCTTTTGAATGCCTTAGTAGGCCCTGAGAGGTCCAAATTCTCCTCCCAGTTTTACTGGTGAAGAAAACTGGGGCTCAGAAAACTTGAGTCTCTTATCCAAAGCACCACAATCAGAATGAGGGTTAGCTGAAGTTTTGACCTTGCAAGGCCCTGGAGGGCATTTCTAAGAGCCCACCCTAGCCAGACCGGCTATTAGGAACCCAGGGGCAGTGAGAAAGTGTTCAGTTTTTTTCTGGAGCAGTTTGCCTCAGAAGCTGCGGGAAGGAAACCTGAAACCAGATAAGTAGGGAGCAAACAAAAGCCTGAGTCTGGCACCACCTGAGTCCTTCTCTGAGCGACAGAGGTGGAACCAATACCCTGGCCACCTGTCACCCCAGCAACCCCACCCATGTGGGTGACCCTGAGAGGAGGGTACTCATGATTATAAATGATCTTTGTGGACCGATGATAAGGTCATAGTTACCTCTTTATACAGATGGGGAAGCTGAGTCTTGAGTTGGCTAGGGGCTTACTTGAGATCACAGAGCAAGTTAGTAGCAGAGCCTAGAAGTGAACTGAGGTCTCCAGCCTTTAACCCAGGGCTCTTCTTGACCACTCATGGGTATTCAGCTTGTCCCAGAATGTCCAGTACATCATGTCTCCCTTACTAGCATATAGGCAAATCATTAACTGAGCACCTACTGTGTACTGGGAAGTTTATGGGGTGCTTTACAAACAGTATCTCATTGAATCTGCCAAACAACTCCAAGAGTTAAATAAGAAAATCCAAGTTTATAGACAAAAGCCCTAGCATTCAGAGAGGTTGAAAAACTCACCAAGGGTTACGCAGCCTATCAATGACAGAGCCAGGGCCAAACCCATGGTCTACTAACTTCAAAGCAGTGTTCTCATGCACTCCTTAAGGAGGCTATGAACAGAAAGAGCCCTGGGTTGGGAGGCAGAAGGCTGGCATTTATCCTAGACCTGTTCTGCCTCAGTTTCCCTGTCTCTGCAGTAGCTTCAAAGGCCCTTATCTCAGACTGTTTGCGCTGACTCAGGCCCAAGGGTGCATGGAATATTAGATGGTCTCTACTGATGTTGCCCCCTGCCCCTGGGCAGTTTGCCTTCAGGGACGACATGCCACTGGTGCGGCTGGAGGTGGCAGACGAGTGGGTGCGGCCAGAGCAGGCTGTGGTGAGGTACCGCATGGAAACTGTGTTCGCCCGTAGCTCCTGGGACTGGATTGGCTTGTACCGGGTGAGAAGGGCAAAATGATCAGTGACTTGGGGAAGGAAGGGCCTGGAGGAGCAACTGGGTACCCAGGTGGGATCATGGCTTCTCCAGAATTTAATGCCACACAGGGAGGCTGCTGGGATCAGGCTATAGGGGTCAAAGCCCTGATTTCTATCACCCTAGGTGGGTTTCCGCCACTGCAAGGACTATGTGGCTTATGTCTGGGCCAAACATGAAGATGTGGACAGGAACATCTACCAGGTAGTCAAGGGAAAGAGGGAAGGGGAGGAAGTCCCCATTGCCTTTGGGGGGTTCTGTGGCTCCCTCCCTGACCCCAACCTAGGCCTATACCCTGGGCCCACCAGGTGACATTCAGTGAGGAGTCGCTGCCCAAGGGCCATGGAGACTTCATCCTGGGCTATTACAGCCACATTCACAGTATCCTTATTGGAGTCACTGAGCCTTTCCAGGTGAGTAGATTAGACTGCAGGGTCAGGGGTGCCAAAAGATCCTGTTCAAATGCCACAGCCTCTACCTTCTGCTCTGTGGCCTCCTACAAGTCGCCTGAAACCTTCCTGGGTCTTCCAAGGAGGATTTTGGAGTGGTTACAAGAGGCCTCAGTGGCCAGTTGGGGATTGAGGTACTCCAGTGACCAACCTCCCCCCCAGATCTCGCTGCCTACCTCAGAATTGGCCAGTAGCAGCACAAACAGCTCAGGTGCCAGCTCAGAGGATGAGGATGACAGCACCCTGGAGCTGCTCGCACCCAAGTCCCGAAGCCCCAGCCCTGGCAAGTCGAAGCGGCACCGTAGCCGCAGCCCAGGCTTGGCCCGCTTCCCAGGCCTGGCTCTTCGGCCCTCCTCCCGTGAACGCCGAGGCACTAGCCGCAGCCCCTCACCCCAAAGCCGTTGCCTGCTCCGTGTGGCCCCCAACCGGGGCAATGATGGAGGCACCCAGGGCAGTAGTGAGGAGGGGCCTTCTGGGCTGCCTGGTCCCTGGGCCCTCCCACCATCTGTGCCTCGAAGCCTGGGTTTGCTGCCTGCCTTGCGCCTGGAGACTGTAGACCCTGGAGGTGGTGGCTCCTGGGGACCTGACCAGGAGGTCCTGACCCCCGACAGCCCATCTCCCAGCCCTCAGGGACGGCAGAAGTTGGAGGAAGGGGGCCTGGGGCCCTGAAGGCAGGGTGGGAAGGTGGGTACAGGTGGCTCTCACTCTGCCCCAATCTTCTGCAAACACACCTGCCTCCCTCCTGCTACTGCTCCAGCTTTGTCCACACCTCCCACTCTGTCCTGGCCCAGGTGGCCAACTGGGGTCCCCCAAACTCAGTCCTGCCACCTCAACTGTGACAATCAGCAAAGCCCTATCTAGGCCCCCATCTGGGATGGGGGAAGGGGCAATCCTAGAGGTCATTGATTAGGAATTAAATTCTCTAGCCTCACTCCTGACTCCTTCTTGACTTGTTAGCAATCTCAGGGTGAGTGTAATCAGAGGAAGGGACTAAAGGAGAGGACGACAGATCTGACAATTACCAGGCACCAACTGTATATATCATGCATGCCATCTCCTTTAATCTGCATCACAACCCTGAATTGTGCTGTTGAGTTCAGTGCAGTTATATATATATATAAAATCTTTTGTTAATATTTTTATTGATTTTTTTTTTTTAGAGAGAGAGAGAGAAACATCGATGTGAGACAGAAGCATTGATCAGCTGCCTCCTGCACACCCCTCACTGGGGATCGAGCCCACAACCTGGGCATGTGCCCTGACCAGGAATTGAACCCAGACCTCTCAGTCCATGGGATGACACTCAATCCACTGAGCCACACCCGTCGGGCTCAGTGCAGTTCTTAACCCCCTTTCACAGGTGAACCAACAGGCCTCCAAGAAGTTACATGAGCTTCTCAAAATCAGATACCTGACCACAGTTTGGCAGTGTGTTGGAGGGAGGGAATATTTATTAGGTTCTAAGCACTGGCCATGCTTTGGTTTACTTAATCCTCAACAACTCTATGAGGTAGGTAGATCCTGTGTATACTGCTCTTTTTAAAGGAGGAAACAAAGGCTTAGAGTTGGGGAAGGAGGTCCCTTGCTCAAAGGCACAGGGGAGATTTAAATTTAGGTTTAGGGCAGAAAGAGTGGGCCAGGACTGGGCCAGGAAGGACACAGCAGCTGTAAAGAGGACTCCCCAGGAGGAGGGTAGTTGGGAAGTCCCTCTCTCATGCTCCCCATCCTGGACTCAGACACAGGCACTTCTTTGGCATCCCTCATTCTCTACCTGCTGCCTCAGGCCGCAGCCGGCAGGTGTTCAGGTCCCCCTGGGCAAGACCTTGAGACATGTATTCATGTTGCAACATGAACTTAAGTGCACTTCCTCCTAGGACCTCCGGAGGCTGCTGCAATTAGTTACCCCTCCCCATTCCCATCTGGAGTGAAGTTCCCTGTCAAGGTCCAAGCCCAGGGCATCAGAATTAGCCTCCTGAATACCACATCCAAACACAGAGGGGTTGTGTTACCAGCCCAAATTTACCCAGCACAGCAGGAGACATGGTTCAGTGTTTGGGCCTTGGCCCCCTCTCCCCAGTCCAACCCTCTGGCTGTCATAACAGGCCTGCTTCAGTGTAACACAGAAGAGGCTGAGGCCCCAGGGCCTAGCAAAGCCAGGGGCAAGGTCCAGTCTGGTGCCCACGAAAGCTGGATCTGAGGTTACTGGTTCCAGGATTTCTGCTGCTCTTTGGGCCCTCAGGATGCCTGAGTCAGTTGCAGGCACCTGTCATAGAATGACATGGGGGCCCCTGGGTGCTCCAAAGGCCATTCCTGCCCCTCATCTGTGCCTGTACCCCAGAGTCTCCTCTGCTGCAGTCGTCGCAAGTGCCGAGCTGACACCTTGATGGCCTTAGGGTCCTTGGAACAGCTGTGAGGAGAGAAAAGTGGGGCAGGCAGTCAGGGCTGCCAAGGATCCCACCCTACTCGGTGAATACAGGAATGGAGGCCGAGGAACAGGGCTGGAGCCAGGAATGGGGTGGTTATACTAGAAGGGGGAAGAATGAACCTGGGCTAGCACCCAGAGGCCTGCAAAAACCTGGGCCAGTCTGGGCCTGTTTCCTCACCTGTGAAACAGGAAAAGTAACAAGGGGCTGGCTTTGAGAATCAGAATTGAAATGAGATTGTGAGTTAAACAAGCGCTTTTCTACATGCCCACAGGCCTTCGGCTGTGTGCATCACACACACCATTTCCTTGGCTTCTACAACCATTTTACAGATAAGAAAATAGAGGTGTAGAGAAGTGACTCAACTTGCCAGCTCGCATAGGAAGTAAATGACAGGATCAAGATGCAACCCACATGGGCCAACTACAATGATCCCAGGCACCAGGGGTTAGGGAGATGACAATGGAGCTCAGAGGTCCCTGTGCCCCATCAACTTGGCCCAGGTGCACAAGGCAGGTATAAGCAACCTACCCCCTTGGGAAAATCGCCCATCCCTCCTGGCTCTGCTGTCACTTACTCTTTGCTCTCAGCACAGTCCAGTGGAGGGGCCAGCTTGAAGCAGGTGGTGCCCAGCCGCTCCCAAAGCATGTTGGCACCTGTGGGTGGGCTGTGGAGCCTCAGGAATCGTGCTAGTCTGAGGGCAGAGGCAGGCTCAAGTTGGGGCAAAGCCAGATGCTCCTTCCCAGTGCCTGGCAGCAGGCAGCCCACCCCCAAGTGTCCAAGCAGGCCTCACCGGCGCGTGCAATTGCAGTGGAAGAGGGGTTCTCGGGCACTATTGAGCAGCTGGAACTTGGTCTCCTGGGGCCCGATCTGGTGCTCACACTTGTCCAAGTGGTGGAAGCTGCGGCAGGCCTGGCGGGCAACTGGGGACAGTGTGGTGGTGAGGGGAGCCCAGTCCCCAGGGAGGCCCCACTGATGCCTACTGCCTTCCAGAAGAAACACCAGCACATGGGCTCCGTCTCACACACACACACACACACACACACACACACGCACGCGCACACACACACACATGCATAGACTTCTTCCATCTGATGCCTTTGTGCTTTCATAGCACCACACATGGGACACACACACGGTAGTACTACAGTGGCAGAGTGCTGAGGGAGGTCAGAAAAGGCTTCCTGGAGGCAGAGGCTGCTAAGCTACGCTGAGAGAGAGGAAGAGGAGGGGAAAGTGCTCCAGGCAGGGGGAACAGCATGTGCAAAGGCCCAGAGGTGGGAGAGAACAAGTTGCTTTTGAGAAACCAAATGAAGTCTGAAAAACTAAAGTTTCAACTGCGGAGTTGAAACAGAGCCAGTGCCTGAGGGTCCCTGAGTGTTGGGACATTGTCAGTTGAGGTAATATGAGCCATGGTGGGGGCTCATAGGGGGGTGACATTGTCAAGTTTAGAGCGTATGAAAATCCTTCTGGCTGTAGCATGACTTGGTGGGAGGAGCTGAGAGACTCAGGAAGAGTTTGGAGCAGGAAAGGAAGTAACACAGGGCCCCCACACATGCACAGAGGCAGAGCCACTACCTCACATCAGGGACCCCAAGGTTAAATTCTTAGCTTACCCTGAGGTTTTAGGGCACCCTGTGGTCTCTGAAGGCCTGTATGGGTGATCTTCAGCCAGGCTGTGGGGGCCATATCAGGCCTAGAGGAGGCCATGGAGGCCTGGAGGGCTGTGACATTGTCTTTGCTGCGGTGCTGGAGTCCTTTTTGCTGTGGTGGCCACTTCCAAGGGTGCTGCTTCTGTTGTGGCTTGCTGGGGGCTGGGCTCTGGGGGCTAGGAGTCAGGGGGATGGCTGGGGAGCTCCAGGAAGCATTGTAGAGGGTCTTAGGCTGGAGGCGGGCGAGGGATATGGAGCCATACGTTCTACATCTAGGAGATGGCAATTGATGGCAATTGGTAATCCAGAACCCCCCTTCCAGGAGCCCCCCAGGGTCATCACCATGGAGACCAAGGCTCTGTCAGCCTCATCCCACCCCTCATCCCACTGGGTTGTGTGGGGCACCAGGGGAGGGTCTGCACCCTGGGCCCCACCCTGAGGAGAGGACAGAGAGGATAGGCATCATTCCCTAGAGGACAGACATACAGCCTCCCTCCCTGAGAAAGGACTCAAAGTGGGTAGCTACGTACCCGCCCCACCAGTACCACGCCACACATGCTTCCTGCTCCTCCAGCACAAAGCAGGGGATCTCCAGCACATTGAAGAACGCCACGCCCACAATATCTGAAATGGAGTCCTGCTGGTTCTGCAGGCATTGCTGGAACCTGCCGCAGAACCAGCACTCAGGTCCCTGGACCACAGAGGGCCACGTGGCTCCTCCCCAAGCCCATCCAGCCACTACCAGCCAGGTGTTTTGGGGTCCAAGAGTTCCTTCTCCACTCAGGCCTCAGCTTTCCCACCTGCATGGTGGGGTCCAGGCTTCTGATCCTTTAAGATTTCTCTGGAATCCCAGTCTCTGCACCCAGGAACTGAGTAACTCTGCCCCACCCTTGCACCACCAGGTCCCCTGCCCACTGCCAACCTGGCATCACAGTCACAGTGAGAGATGGTGTGGAATCGGTAGTTTCGGATGCCATAGTTGTACTGGAAAGGTGAGATGTTCTGTGGACAGCGGTCATGTTCTCGGCAGCAGAGATCAGGGCCCTGGAAGACCCCTGTAGGGAGTGGAGGGGGCACCAGTTCAGCAGGGTCCTGGCCCCCACACACCGGCTATGCCCACCTGATGTTGCCAGCAGAGACCTGGTTCTCACCCCAGCCCTGGGTGGCCTCACTCACCCTCTGTGAGACTCACAGTTTCAAAGCTTAAAGAGAGCACCAGGCATAGCCTCTGTTGGGCAACTTCAAATGCAAGGCAGCCTACCCAGGAGCCCTTGCCCTGGAAAGGTCCTCCTGGGAGGAACTCTGGAGGCAGACCCAAGCTCACACCCAAATACAGCTATGAGGCCATATATGTGTGGAATGGAATGACAAACAGGCAGGGTGCAACCTTTGTTGCTGCCATGATGAAGCATTGTCAGGATGCCAACCTGCTCCAACTCAGGTGCCAAGTCCTTCCCAACCCTCCACACATACGCAGACAGCTGTGCTGAGAGTGCAAAAAAGCCACTGAGCAATAGTGCCTTTTACTGAGCATTTCCCAAGTGCCCAGCACTTCCCACACCCAAGCTCCTGTTGAGGAAACTGAGGTTCGGAGAGCTTGGATGTGCTGGATTGGTATTTGAACCCAGGCCTTTGGGTCTCAGTGTCCACTTCATTGGGCACTTTGTGCTCATAAAGCCTCCTCTTAGGAAATGATTATTTGGCTCAGCTGACCCCCAATCCACCCCAGCCTGTCCTCTTCCTTGGGTGGTGATTAATGAATAGGATCTTTCCCATCTATGACCTCATTTAAGCATCCCATAATGAGACTTATGGTCACCCTCATTTTACAGATAAGGACATCGAAGTTCAGAATGGTTAAGTCACTCCACCAAGGAAATACAGCCTGGGAGAGTGAAGGCCAGGGTGAAAGCCTGAACTTCCCCTACCGTAGCCCCCAGCCCACACCCCTATGGCTCACCCAGCTCCGTGGAGTTCCCGGCAGAGTCCCCGACTCCACACCACAGTGTGCCAGGCATGGTCCAGCCTCTCTTCCCCCGCTGGTGCCCTATGCCAGGTATTCCACTTTGCCCTGCTGCTCGCTTCTCCCTCACTCCTGCCGGACTTCCATCAGACGGTCGGCAGGTCTCCCACTGACTCTGAAGGATGGCCAAGGCTCTCTGCAGCTCAGGTCCAGGAGTGTGGATGAAGGAGTCTTGGGTGATCTCATCAGCACAGAGGGCACTGAAGGCTGCAGTGAGCTCAGGCTCATCCTGCCGGCTACATGACTGCAGCCTCCCCAGCCCATCCCAGTGGGCATGGAACAGAGCCAGTCCCTGAGCATCCTTGCTCAGGAAGCTTAGGGACCGCGAGGGGCTGCCAGGGATGGACCTGGCCAAGTGGCAGAAAGTGCTTTTCCAACGGAGGGCAGAAGAGCCCCCCAGAGCAGCCCCCAGGAAGCTCAGCAACCCCAACAGCATTCCCAGGACTTTCATTCCACCCTGGCCCAGCCCAGTCAGACAAAGCCCCTGGGATGGGATGCTTATCCCTGGCGGCCCAGCCCACGAGGCAGCAGTTCAGAAGCTGAGCGGAAACAGTGCCCAGCAGACCCGGTGCAGCGGGGCCAATGAATGGAGCTTTGGGAGGAGTAGAAAGGAGGTTGGAGTATGGGGTGATCTCAAGCTTGTAACTGAATCCACCGGCTGGGCAAGCCGCTGATTGGCTGAGGAGTGCACTTGCCAAGGCCCACACCCCCACTCACCCTCCCTTGCTATCCAGTCACCTGCTGCCGGCCCTGCCCCCATAGGGGCTGTGGGAGCCAAAGCCCTGGGCCCTGGGGTTACGGGGTGGGGGCAGAAGAAGTCTATGCCTCCCTGGGCAGGGAGAGGGTTCAGGGACTAAGAGGAGGCTCTCTCCAGTGGTACCTGCCACACACCCTACCTCCATGAAGCTGGCGGGAGCCATGAGCCTCAGCCAGGATTGGGTGAAAGGGGTGAGGGCAAGGCTGAGGCTCTGTGGCCACCAACCTCCCACCCCAACTTCTGGGAAAAGGAAGCTTCTGGGAAAGAGGGCAGCTATGTCCTAGCCACCTAGGATACTCCCCCCAAATCCTGGTTCTTAGAAAGGCTCTTGGCATATCCAGGGGACAGTGTCCCAGGGCTCCCCACTTCCTGGGACTCCAAGCATAGTCCTAGCTCGGAAGTCACCCTCCTGGTCTAATAGACAGTGGGGTAGAGACACAGCCAGAGCAGGACTTGACAGCAACATGGGACAGGGCTGATGCTCTGAACTTGAAGGAACTATGGTCCCCAGAGGAGCAGAGGGTGGCCCAGGAGGCTGAAGCTACAGCCACTGGACTATGGCTACCTTGAGGACACAGCAGGCATCATGAATCCCAAAAGAGAGGCGTGGTTCATCCATCAGGAAGGGGTTATATCCTGCACGTTTCTATGTCCCAAAGCCAGTGTATCTATCATTCAGCATCCAACCAACCAGAGAAGCCAATGGGCTTCCACCCACAGTGCAAATTAAAAAACTGAGGCTCAATGAGTGTATGGAAACCTCAAGTTACAGTCAGGCCCCAGCAAGGGAGGGGTTAGAGGCTAGGAGTGCAGCTCTTGAGGTGCTTTGCTGGGAGGTCAGGGCTGGCTGGGACACTGACTTGTCTGTCCATCAGCCCATGAGCCTGCTGCTCCCTGACATCCTCCCCACCAATCAATCTCCATCCAAGTCTCTCCCAGGAGGATGAGTCCAGTAAAGCAGAGTCAGGGGCAGAGCTAGGGAAAGGGAGCTCACCGTACAGAGGAGGGAGAAGGGGATTGCAGAGTATACAGGCCTATGTCTGTGGCTTCAGAACCAGCCTGGACCTGTGCTCAGAAGGTCATAGTTGGGGACTATTGAGAGAAGGGAGAGAGTGTGGGGTCACCTAGGAGCTCCTTCTTTCCAGAGGCTGGGAAGGAGGGTGTGGAGAAGAGCAAGTGGCATTGGGAAGGGCGGGGAGACCTGGTGTTCCCAAAGGCAGGGACAGAACAGAACAATAGGAGATCCCACTGGGAAGAATGATCATTCTGGTAACTTTCCCCAGTTGTAGAAACCGTCACCCACATTTATCCCCGTTTTACACATTATAGAGCCCTTCCCTGCCTATCACACAGGGAGGCTGAGAGGTACTATGACAGAAACTCAACTTTCAAGGTCAGACAGACCTAGCTTGTGTGACCTTAGGCTTAGGAGTCTTAACTTCTCTGAGCCTGTTTCCTTATCCGTATGATGGGCATAATCACAGTAGTCACTTCATGGATGTTAAGAAAGACTCTCAGCACAAAGATTGTCATCCAAAACACTGTCATTTAAACCTCAGGACACCCATGGGCAGGAAACAATTTACCCAGGAGAAAGCAAGTCCCAAAGTTTTCCGGCCATAATCTCCACTTCATGATAACTAATTCTGCTAAGTCACTATTTTGCTGTGTGACTTCGGGCTTGTCCTTGCTGCCCCTCTCTGGGCCTCAGTTTCTTTCTCTGTTTAGTGAGGGGCTGCAGTGCAATTGACCTCTCAGGTTTCTTCCTATCTGAGCCCCAAAGGGAGGCAGACTGGGGCCTGCCCAGGCCTCAAGGGAGGGTGTCACTTGGTTTTCTCTTCAGATTCCACCAGCAGCCACGTCAGTCAGCCTACAGGATAGGAACTGAAGCCCTGCCTTCCACCAGGGTGACCCTCAGAGGCCTTGGAGCAGAGGATGACAGGAGCCAAACCAGAAGGACAAGACAGAACAAGTTGGGCCCTGCAGACAGAAGGGGGCAAGGCTTTACCCTGGGTCCCCACCCCTCCTGTCTGGGTTGAGACAGGGTGCCAGAGGGAGCGATGGGTGGGGGTCCCTCCTCCCCCCTCTCTGATTGCTTATTGTTGTCTTCCTCCATCAGTTCCCATTACTCTTTGTCTCTTTTTGGCTTCTCTCTCATCTCTCTCTGTCTCTTGGTCTCTCTAATTCTGATTCTCACAATTTCTTTCTATCTCTTCCATCTGTCTCTCTTTCTATCTTTCTCTCTCTGACTCTAACTCTCCATCTTATTTTCTCTCTCCATTTCTTTCTTATCTTCTCTTTCACTCCTCTGTCTCTCTTTTACTGTCTATCCCTCTATGTTATTCTCTCTCTCTCTCTTTCTCCCTCCCTAACTTTCCTCCCTCCCTCATCTTCTCTCCCTCTCTCTCAATTTCCCTCTATTGTTCTGTTTCTTTGTGTCTTTTGGTTCTCTCTCTCTTTCTCTCATTCCCTATTCATCTGTCATATTTTCTCTGTTCTTTGTTTCTGTGTGTGTATGCGTGTGTGTGTGTGTGTGTGTGTGTGTGCGCCTATGTGTGTGCCTCTCCTAATTCTTCTCCCTTCTTTCTGTCAGCTCTCCCCCTCCACACCCTGACTCCAGGCCCAGGACCTGGCTTCCCCACCCTTTCCTGTTCACATTTCCCCAGCCATGACTTTATCTGATGCTCACAACCACTGCCCATCTTGGGCAGACAGGCAAGGCAGGGCTTTTAATCCCATCATTGAGATGGATAGATGGGCCCTAGAAGAAAAATGACTTGCTGGGAGTCAGAGTGGATCAGGGGGAAGCCGGGTCAGGCTTGCCCTGACGATGTGTGGGGAGGGCCTCCTCTGGCCTCAGAAGACTCTTGGCTCCCCCAAAGCCTCCCCACCACAGGACCTCCTCTCCACTGTCTGCAGGGTGCCCTCCCTCTGCCCCTTGGAGCTGGCCCTCCCAGCCCCACCAGAAGGCTCGCTGCCACTCTCTGTGCCAGGAGAATGGTGCGGGCAGTGCCTAGCTCCAAAACGTTCTGCATTCATTCAAAAACAAATAGTTACTGAGTGTCTACTATGTGCCAGGCACAGGGCAAGACCCTGGACAGAGAGAGAGGAGGGGAAGAGAGAGGGGGCATGCTCAAGACTTGGACGAAGAGAAAAATCATCCTCTGGGGCCTGACAACTCAGAGGAGCCAGGACCTGGGTGTCAGTTGGGTCCTGTAGGAAGCTGCCACCAAGACTAAATTAGGAGTGCAAGAGATTTATGGAAGGAAGTGTCTGTGAAAGATAAAGAGGGTGAAAGCAGGAGAGGGCAGGGAAAGCCTTCAAACTCTGCTGCAGGTCTGACACCTATGGGGAAAGAGGAGAAGGGAAGGAGGGCTGAGTAAGAAGAGCCTCACACTGCAGTGCTTCTCCAAGAAATTCTCAGCCAGCCTACAGGGAGCTCTGGTGCAAAGATTGCCCTTAGAAGAACCACAGATGGGCAGGAATGGCCAGGTCCTAGTGCCCTGGCTATGCCCAGGTATTGGTTGGGGGCTGCCCAGGAAGACAGAGCTGCTGCAGATGCTGATGACTGCCACCCCTGGGAACTTACCCACCCATTTGGCTTCAGCACCCGATGAAGACCAGGAGAGGAAACCCAATGGGACAGATGCAGTCTGGCATCTGGGAAGGAAGCTCAGAAGGCATTCTTTTTCCAGGAGATGCCAGGGCTAAGGAGTAGGAATCTGTGGGACAGGATTTCCAGGTAGGAGTTCAGCTCCTAGCACACCTGGTAGATTTCTAGGTAGGATTTCAGCCCCTAGCACACCTGGTATAAACGAAGCCCCGCCCCAGGTCTGGGGGCATAAACACTGAGACCCAAGTGTGTCTAAAATTAGACATCTCAATAGACAGGCAGAAATGTATTAGATTCAATTTAATAACATTAAACTAAGAATAGAAGAGAAAGAGGGAGAAATGGGGAATCAGAGACACTGCAGAACCCATTCTCATAACTGAGCAGTATTAGAAGCTGTGGTGTTTTAAAGATGTGCACAAAGTCTTTGAGACTCGTCCCTTTTAATGGTGGAGATTATTCCCTCTCCCCTTCAGTGTGAGCTGCACTTAGTCAGTTGCTTCTAACAAATAAAATGTGGCAGAAGTGAGGTAACTTCTGAGACTAAGTCATAATAAGCACCGTGTCTTCCGCCTCGCTCTCTCTTGGATCACTCACTCTGGGGAAGCCAGTTGACATGTCATGAGGACACTCAAGCAACCCTGTGAAGAGGCCCATGGGATGAGGAACTGAAGCCTCCTGTCAACAGCTATAGGAGTGAGCTACTTGGTAGCAGATCCTTCAGCCTCAATCAAGCCTTCAAATGAGTAAAGCATACCTGACCTTCTTTTTTTGGTGTGTAATATAATTCACATAACACACAATTCACCCATTTAAAGTGTACAATTTATACAGCTCTTAAATATGTGTCTGAGTGGTCAAAAATAAAATAAAGTGTACAATTTAATGGTTTTAGTATGTTCATAGTTGTGCAACCATCACCACTACCTAATTCCAGAACATTTTCATCATTCCAAAAAGAAATCCTGTACCCAGTAACAGTCATTCCACCTTCATGCTGACTCCTAGCCCCGAGTAATCACTAATCTATTTCATGTCTCTATAGAGTTGCCTATTCTGTACATTTCATATAAATGGAACT